GTGTGGCGGGGAGGTCACGACGGAGTGCCAAGACTTTGTCTGCGAAAAAGCTCGCGAAAGCCTCACAGCCAATGTCCAATTCCCTAATATTTTGTCTGCCCTGGGGCAAGGATGTCAGAGACCGAATCACACTAAATAATTGGGCCGGGCGTGAGCTAGCAGACGCAATCGAGGCCGCATAGAAATCCCTCTTTGCGGCCCTGACTGCCATCACATAGGCATTCATAAGCATCCTGTAGGATGTTCTGGACACTTCGTCACGAGCACAGCACCACCGTCTCTCTAGCCGTCTCAGTTCCCGCTTCAGCGAGCGCAACTCCTGGGTATACCAGGGCGCTCGCCTAACACGAGTGCGGAGAGGGCGCCTGGGAGCGATCTCGTCAATGGCTGAGGAGAGTCGGCTATTCCAGTCCTCCACCAGCTCATCCAACAAGCCGCCAGGGGGTCTCGGATCCCTCAGAGCCATTTGGAGCCGCATAGGGTCCATTTGGTTCCGTGGGCGAGCCAAAATCAGCTCGCCACCTAAACAAGGTCAGGGTGGGACATTCAGACGGGCCTTCAGGGCATGGTGATCCGACCATGGCACTGCCGAAGCAGTGATCCGGTCCACCGTCACTCCTGCCGCAAAGATCAAATCGAGCGTGTGACCGGCCCAATGCGTGGGAGCCGAAACGAACTGAGAGAGTCCCAGTGCCGCCATGGACGACACCAGATCCATAGCCCGGCTGGAGATGGAACAGAACACTGACATTTACCCTCCCAAGCACACCAAAGCATGACAGAACTAGACAACTTCGCCTCTGTCAGAAATCCCCTTCTCACAACATCTTTGGAGGTTTTCAGACAGAGGCTAGATGGCCATCTGTCAGCAACGCTGATTCTGTGAACTGAGGCAGATCATGAGAGGGAGGGCAGGAAGGGCTGCATCCGTGCTTAGTTCTTGTGGCCCTTTCTTACACGCACAGGGAAATGCTGATCACCACTTTGGGGTCAGGAAGCAATTGTTCTCCAGGCCAGTTTGGCCAGGGATGCTGGAGGGTTGTTGTTGGTTTTTTTGTCATCTTGTGGGTGTGGAACAGCAGTCACTGGGGGTGTGGGGGGAGGTATTTGAGAATTTCCTGCATTGTGCAGGGGGTTGGACTAGATGACCCTGTACTTTCAAACTCTATGATTCTATGAAATAATGTATCTGCACAAGGCCTGCCTATTTGAAAGAATCATCCAGCGTGGCAAGGACTTAATGAAGGTCCACTGAAGGTAGGTATTAACTGGAGCCTGGTAAGTGGAGTCCCAAATGGACATGCCGCACATGGCAGGTATATATCAGACTCCAGACAGATCCCCAACATACACATGATCCTATGCATGACTAAGGCTGCCAGGTTTCCCACTCTGGCAGGAGACCTCCCCACTGGCAGCCCCAGTCTCCCACCAGTGCTCAGAGCAGTGGAAGAAAAATGGAACAACATCACTTCAAGTGCAAATCTGGAAGTCAGGTCATTGTGTTGGGATGTTGCTCTAGGATCCCACTGAAACTCTATGGTAAAACTTTGGTATCAATCATGGCACCTGACTTAAGGAACGCTCTTCCCCTTGAGGCTTGTGTGGCACCCGCCTTGCTCTCTTTTGGACACCAGGCCAAAATGTTCACCCAGGTGAGTGGTATTTTAGGAACATTTTGGGTGCTTTGACACACATTAAATGACACACTTTCAGTGCACTTTGCAACTGGATTTTACTGTGTGAAATGGCAACATTCACCTGCAAACGGTCGCTGAAGTGGATTGAAACGGCATTGTTTAGCATGTGTGAAAGGACCCTTCATAATGTGCTTTTATAGTCTGAAACCTGCTATTTAAAGCTGCTCGGCTATCTGTTTTTATGCTCAGGCGTTTGTTTGGGTTTTTTTTTTTAAAAAAAAAATCTGTATTTTTAGTAATAACTTTCAAATGTTTCGTATTATGTTTTAATTTTGTGAGCTGCCTCAGGCAAGTTCCCTGGAGAGGCAGCGGAAAAAATATTCTGAAGTAAATAAAATACCACACTAGCCAAAATCCCATCCTCCTCAGGGCCAAGCTGGCCCAAGGTACTCGCTTCTTGCTGTTCCTGAGTGAAACTACAAACTACCTGCTACCCTGTCTTGAGAAATCCATCCCTTGGGGTGGGAGATGGCCTGGCCCTCCCCCTCAGATGTTTCCTCCCTTTCCGACACACTCTCCCTCTCTCCTCCTGCCTCCTCCGACTGACTCCCCATTTGGCCAAACTGACAGGAGAGGGGATCATTAGCATACACACAATGGATAGACTCCAGCAGACTCCAGACTGGCAGGCAAAAGCGGGGCCATGGAAAAGTCATTTACAGACTCACAAATGCCGAGCACCTTACATTTAACAACAGTCAGTTCCCGGGGGCTCTGACTGATGGATGACTCCATTTCAAACACCCGACCATGCCAAATGGCACATCTGACTGCAGCCAGAGAGATCCAGGTGGGTAGCCATGTTGGTCTGAAGCAAGAGAAAGCACTGGCACCTTTAAAACCAACACAGTTTAATTCTGGGCATAAGCTTTCGTGTGCATGCAGACTTCTTCAGATGTGCATGCATATGGAATCTTATACCCAGAATTAAACATGGTTGGTCTTAAAGGTGCCACTGCACTCCAACTTTTGGTGTAGTGGTTAAGTGTGCAGACTCTAATCTGGGAGAACCGGGTTTGATTCCCCACTCCTCCACTTGCACCTGGCTGGATGACCTTGGGTAAGCCATGGGTTTGTCAGAGCTGTTCTCTCATGGACAGTTCCCTCAGAACTCTCTCAGCTCCACCCACCCCACAGGGTGTCTGTTGTGGGGAGGGGGAGGGAAAGGAATTTGTAAACTGCTCTGAGACTCTGAGTGAAGGGCGGGGTATAAATCCAATCTCTTCCGCTTCCTCTTAGGTCTCCGAGAAATAATGAAATGACACCATTCTTGTGTTGTGTTCTACCAGCAAACCACCACATATGCATCTACCCCTTCCTTAGGGTTGCCAGTTCTGGGTTGGGAAGCACCTGGAGCTTTGGAGAGTGCTGCCTGGGGAGGGGGGGATTTGTACAGGGAAGGGATCTCAGCAGGGTATAATGCCAAAGCGGCATTTTCTCTGGGGGGACAGATCGTGGTTGCCTGGCGATCCATTGTCAAAGAGGGAGGTCTCCAGGTGCTACCTGGAGGTTGGCAGCCCTATGAGTCTTCCCTTTTTTTGTTTAAAAATTGGCAGCATGGAGAGGCAAGTCTGTAGCATGTGCCATCACGTCCCTACATTTCACCAAAGCAAAGAGGCACACGCTTGCTGCTTTGAACTGGCGCCTCTCACCCCCAATTTGTTACACATTGCTGAGTTCTGCAATAGCTTTTTGCTCCATTGATCTAAAAAGCCACACACACACACACACTTGTACTACACTGTGTTAACCATTGCAAACACGCACTGCCTGTTGCAGCGTAAGAAATGGCAGCATGCATATTGCCCAATGCTTTAATGACAGCATTCATGTGTATGCATTCACACCTCTTCACCACAGGGTCCATGCATCCCTAGGGAGCCAAAGCACACATCAAACAAGCCAGCTTGCAAAGGAAACACTCTCAAAGCAATACCCTCTGAACCAGGCTATTGAATGGCCAAGTGCTTTGCTCAATGAAAGATACTGTAGATAAATAATCCCCACATTTGTGTGATTTGCAGGCCATGAGTCTCAGGGCTAGGAACTGGATGGCACATGTTCAGAAACTTGTGTAATACTTATTTGTTGTTAGTTTATTTTAATGTATTTTTATATATCCTTTGTATTTATTCTAACTATTTTTATTATTGTAGCTAGTATGTTTTTTAACGTCAGTGTGATTCTGTTGATTTACTGGCTGGATGCCGTAATAGATTATCTATCTATCTATCTATCTATCTATCTATCTATCTATCTATCTATCTATCTATCTATCCATCCATCCATCCATCCATCCATCCATCCATCCATCCATCCATCCATCCATCCATCCATCCATCCATCCATCCATCCATCCATCCATCCATCCATCCATCCATCCATCCATCCATCCATCCATCCATCCATCCATCCATCCATCAATCTATCCATCTATCCATCTATCCATCTATCTATCTGAAACCTGTTTGTTTTTTAAAAAATAGACCTTGCCTTATAAGCATTAATGGTTCTGCCTTGGCTAACAACAACAACAAAAAAAGCTAGGAAACTCCATCCCTTCCGTGCATATACAACAACATAAACAGTACCAACAGGGCTTTAGGGAGATGCTAAATAAAACTTGGACACTCACGCTAGTCTCCCCCACTACACTCAAAAAGGTACATCTTAGATCCCCAGCAAACTCCGTTCTTAGTGTCAGCTATTGAAGCAGACCCTTCGGTACTCTGATGTCAAACAGCAAAGCCACGGCCAAAGTTAAACCTTTCTCCCAGCCCCACGACCAAGTAGAGCACAACCCCGGAGGATCCTCGTTAACAGACTGTTCAAAAGGAATCCATCAGAATGAAGAAGGGGGTCTTTCTCTCTCTGTCTCGTACACAGCACCCAAGCCTCACTGCACTGGGATCCTCCCACTAACACCTCTGATGAGACTAGGGTTGACAGCTCCGGGTTGGGAGATACTTGGAGATTCGGGGGGTGGAGCCTGAGGAGGGCGGGGTTTAGGGAAGGGAGGGACTTCAATAGGGCATAATGTTATAGGGTCCACCTTCCAGAGTGGCCATTTTCTCCAGGGGAACTGATCTCTCTTGCCTGGAGGTCAGTCGCAATCCCAGGAGATCTCCAGCCACCTGGAGGCTGGCACCCCTAAGTGAGACCTGCATCCAAACCCATTCCCTTTCTTGCCAAGCCAATACTACTTAAGTAGTCAGGCAAGCACTCTCTCAGCTTCACTTACTTCACAGGGTTGGGAGAAAGGTGCTGTAAGCCACTTTGGGGGCCCATTGGGGAGAAAAACACAAATCTCCAAATCAATAACAGGCGAGTGAGTGAAAGACTCCTCTGCCGATCTGGTGTCCCGTCTCCCCACACATACAGAGGGGAGTCGCCTTCCCTGTTTGTCACCCTCCTCCACTCGTGGAAGAAGCCGTTTCCCACCTGGAAGTGAGGTTCCTGCAGAATGCGGGCCAATTCAGCCGCCGTGCTGTCTTGCTGAGCAATGCGGGAGATGTCTTTGAGTATCTCCTGGACCAGCTCCAAATTATTGTCCCTCACGGCTTCCAGCTTTGTTTCCTCCAGACGCTCGTGAGCCTGTGGGGAGGGTAGAGGAAAGGTGGAGAAAGGAGGATGAGAGAGAGAGAGGGAGGGAGGGAGATCAACAAAGCCCCTCTGAAGCCTTTGAGCCTTCCGAGATAGACTTGCGGGAGATGCTGGAGGCCTACAGAGATTGGGTGTGTTTCCAGGTATTCGCTCTCAGAACTCGAGAGCACCTCCTCCAAAAAGGCCAAAGGTGTTGGGCTTACTTGCATTTCCTAAACAAAGCAGTGTCACCTACTGGTACCTGCAAAGTCTGGGGAAAGACATTAGCTCTTTCCATAGCCTAAAGGGGTGGGGGTGGGAAAGGGTACATTGAGGACACCATAACAGAAAACATGACATGCACACAAAAGCCCACTTGCTCCACAGGCCAGGAGCAGGATTCTCAGATAGATCACATCCATCCCTGGCCCCTGAAGGAGCACAGCCAGAAATAAAACAGAATGTTTTGTTGTTGTTGCTTGCTCTAAGGGCTCTGGGCTGTCCAAACAGGAGACACACACAAAAATGAAGGAGCTAAAAGTAAGAGATTCTCAAAACAAAGGCTTAGCGTTACCTGCTGGAGTCAGCATGGAAAACAGGGATCTTAATTTGACTCACAGAAGAGCTCTGGAATCTCTATGAGAACTTGATCTCTGTTGTCTGGAAATCAGTTGTAATCCCAGGAGATCTCTAGCTTCCACCTGGGAGGTGGAAATCCTATGATTGGGAGGTTGTCTCACAGGTAATCAGGGGAGTTAGAACAAGGTTATGTGCCTGCTTGTGAAGAGTGGATTCTTAAGTACAGTAGGAGCCACTTGCAGGGGTTCTGCTTCTGGCAGGTTGGGGAACAAAACAGAAGACCACCAAAGGCTTAGCGTTACCTGCTGGAGTCAGCATGGAAAACAGGGATCTTAATTTGACTCACAGAAGAGCTCTGGAATCGGTTTTCATAGCCAGGGCTAGCAGGGAAAGCTTCTGAAATGGGACATGGCCTCATTTAGAGCCAAATTCGATGTTATTTTTTTGCACTTGCATACAAGTGTGTTCAAATATTCCCTGCAGCCACACCACAGCTGCGGGGAATTGCTTCTAAAAAAGAAAACAAAAAAGTAAACCCGAATGGACTTGGAACAGCGCTGCAGGGGGAGGAGGGGGCCCTGCTCCCCCCCAAGCAGTTTTCTCAAGCAAAACCCACATGGGGGGAGTCATTTTGCCAATTTTTCTGCTCCATGTGCACAGATACTCCACGTGGAGCCGAAAAACTGGCAAAAAAAAATCCCCCCCGAGCGTTCTTTGCTCGAGAAACAGGTGTGGTTTTCAAAAGTTTCCACTTTCCCACATCAAAATCTGCCACAGAAGCTCTGCATACCTGCCATGAAATCTTTGCGTGTGATACAGGATTCTGGAGTGTGTTCTAGGATGCATGTTCAGGTCCTGTAGGGCATGTGGGCACCACGGGGGGGGGGGGGGGGGGGGGGGGGGGGAGGCTGCAATTGGCCACAGTGAACAGAAAGTAGGCCAATGGCCTTCTAAGAAAGCGTTGTCCACAGTTCCCATCCCAGTTATCAAAAAGCCCTCATAAGCTCCCCCTGAACCCCCATTTGAAAACCACCAGGATAGCAGGATGGTTGTATGGGGTTAGCTTTTAATAGCAGAAAGCATTCAATAGTTGACGTAACTTTTTTTTTTTTAAGCCCAACAGCACCTAAATAGCTTTGGACAGGTTTGGACCCCTCCCATGTAAGATTTTACATTTGAAGCCTGCCAAATCCAAACTACTAAATCTAAAGCAGGGGTCCCCAATGGAGTGCCTGCGGATTTCACAGTGCCCAACTGATACCCTTCCTGGCCAAGTTTTTTAGAATGTGAACAGGGCCCGGTGGGGCTTTTGCCCAGCTGCGCTGCTGATGGACAGCTGGAGACCTGATTGGATGCACAGACTTTTTAAAAAAAATTGCTTTGACAGCAGCAGCCACCAGCGCACAAGGATCCTCACGGTGTGACTGGAGGGAAGCTGTGGGCATGGGAGGGCATGGGAGGGGCTGCCAAAACTATGAGGAATCAAGCAAGCATCACCTCTTCTCCTCCTCTCTTGCACACAGACGGACAAGCTACCAAAAAAGAGTGGGAAAGAGGCGCTTTTACTCAAGTCTCTCATTGCCTCTGCTCCCCCCCCCCCCCCCCCCCTCCCTCAGCTCATTGCAAGACTCCGATCCTACAGAGAGAAGTTTCGGAACAAGTGACGGTCTGCTTGGAGAAAAGGAGGTGGGGATACAGGTCCCTTCCATCAGGGACTCCTCCCAATCAATCCAGCCCTATGTTTAGAACCAGACTGCACATCTCAGGGCTGCGTTCAACAATTGAAAAAGGCACCAGAGCTGGCAGCAACCCAAGCCAAAACCAAGTGTTCAAAGGGCCAGAGTAGATGTGACTGCATCCTCACAGCCACCACAAGGACAGGCAACACTATTTTAATGTCGTTAAAAATGCCGTGAGGGCCCAGTCCAGACCAGGGCTGCAGTGTGGCGCTCGTGCTTCACCCCCCACCCCCACCCCGGCCTTTTAAAGTGCTGAAACAGGGGTGGAGGGACCATTTAGACACTTGGGAAGGAGTGCATTGCGGGGGGAGGGTAGGAGTCCCTCAGCCCACCACGCTGCAGCCTGATCAGGAACAGGCCCTCGCAACCTTCGAAATGGTCGTGTCCTTCAGGATGCTGCCATGTCTATTTTGGCCTATCGAAGTCGGCATACAGTAAAGCAGAGAAGACGGTTGTTGACCAAAAGCACTGAGGTGCCTTGGATTGGTGAAAAAAAGACACACCAAGGAACTTAATCCCACAAATGAAGCAACAGTTCATGGAGAAAGAAGAATGCAACTTTTTTTTTAAAAAAAGGATGTTGGGAAGAGACAAACATTTTTAGACATTATGATTATGGGAAGAGCACAGAGGGGGAGGGGGAGGCAGTTACACCACAGGCCACGCAAGGATCAGTGGTCTCAAACAGGGAAATCTTAGGTGGAATATCAATGTCTTCCTAAACATAATGGAGCCAATTAGCAAAGGAGTTTATAAATTGTGGAACCTCCATACCGGAGAGTTTCCAAGGTCTTCCATGAAGACAGGTAGCAGCAGAAAAGAGCAAGAGTCTGGTAGCACCTTAAAACAGAAATTGTGGCAGGATAAGAGCTTTTGTGAGTCACTGCTCACTTCGTCAGATACAGCTGGAATGGCTGCATCTGAAGAAGTGAGCAGTGGCCAGTGCTCCCTCTAAGCTGAGTTAGTGTGAGCTAGCTCACAGTTCTTTAGCCTCCGGCTCACACATTTTTGTCTTAGCTCAGGGAGGAGGGCGCCAGAGCAACCTAATTTATGCAGTAAGCAAATCGCTCGCTCACAACTTTAATGGCAGTAGCCTACAGTGTAGAATTTTTGCTCACAGGACTCCACAGCTTAGAGGGAGCTTTGGCAGTGACTCACGGAAGCTCATCCCCTGCTGCCACCTATTTTGTTAGTCTTTAAGGTGCTACCAGACACTTGCTCTTTTCTTCTGCTTCCAAGGTCTGTCCATGGATGCAGGCATAGGATGGGGAGGCACCATGGTTCAGTGGTAGAGCCTCTGCTTGGCACGCAGAAGGTCATTGGTTCAATCCCTGGCATCTCCAGTAAAAAGGACCAGGCAGTAGGTGATGTGAAAGACCTCCTCCTGAGACCCTGGAGAGCTGCTGCCAGTCTGAGTAGACAATACTGACCTTAAGGGAGCAATGGTCTGATCCAGTATAAGGCAGATTCACATGTGTCCATGTGATGTCTGACTCTGGGCAGGATTTTGGACCAGCCGAACCATTAGAACTCTTTGGGCTCTTTGGTGCAATGAAAGGTACTGGGGCCCGGGCCCAGGGGCTTCTCCATCTTTGTCTTACTCCCCATGACTCCAGGATGGGTGAAACCTGGAGCTGAGAAGAGCTTCTGCACCTAAGCTCTGGTGAGCCTCCGCTCAAACTGAGAACTTGAAGATGCGCCAATGAAATCATTTATCTTGGTAGGACAAAGTATGGAGAAAGCAGGCGTGTGTACAAGGGAGCAAAATATGCAGCAACTCCTTATGGGTGAAAAGGGGGAAATGAAAAGGGAATAGGTTGCCGTCTAAACTATTTGACCCCAAAAATGCACTCAAGGCAAGATCAAGGGAGACATGGTGGGAGCAGGGCCAGTTCTTGGGCCAGACCACCTAAGTAACTGCTTGAGGTGGTAGAGTGAGGATGGTGACGATACACTGCAGCCATGAACACCTTGCTCCCAGAGACCAGCGGCATCACCCCCTGAGCCCATGCCATGGGTGGCCAGGTCCAAGTCAAGCCCCTCTGGCAACAGCACAGTGGGCTTGGCCTGGACCCTGGCGGTGGCTGAGGTCCAGGAGGCAATCAGATGGGAGTGGGTAGAAGTGAAGCTGTTCGGCTAGTGTCTCTGGCCCAGCTACCCCATTTAACTGTACCTTAGCCAATGATCTTACTATTGGACTCTCCATGAGGCCACGGAGAAAGATGAGGTCCAGATCTCCTGCTCCCATGGAGTTGGGGAGGTCACTCAGGGTGTCCAAGACTTGTTGCATGGCTGTGTAGAGAAACAAGTTCAGCGTTATTTATTAAACAGAAAAACAACACCCCGAGGGCAGAGAATGCATGGAGAACACGGTTCAACTCTTGTCTAAAGCTGCGGAGAGCGTTTATGTTGGCACCCATGGACTGCTTACCTTCTGTGGTGTTAAACAGGAGATATTCATGGACACCTTATTCAGATAGAATCTGCCAGTGTTCCATAAGAAGGGGTTGAGGCTATAGTTCAGGGGTGGCCAAACTGTGGCTCGGGAGCCACATGCGGCTCTTTCATACATATTGTGCGGCTCCCGGCAGGGTCCCCATGCTTTGTTTCTTTGTTTGTTTCTTTCTCTCTCTTTCTTTCCACTTCTTTCTTTCCATCTCTCTCTCTTTCTCTCTCTCTCAGACAAATAAATATCATTAGCAAACAAATATTATTATAAATATCTGACTTTACCCATTTTGGTTTTTTTATTTTTGGGCAGTCTCGTTTAATGTTAATAAAAAGCAAATTTGCATATTTCTCAATAAAAACATGCATAATATTTATTCATATCTTGCGGCTCTCAAGAATCTGATGTTTATTCTGTGTGGCTCTTACGTTAAGCAAGTTTGGCCACCCCTGCTATAGCCCATGTTGTCTTTGATTGCCCTCTGAGAGCAGAAGCTACGAATAAATTCCTCTTGGCCCTTTCCCCATCTATTTCTCATGCTTGTGTGGCTGTTGAATCTAAGATTATCTGGCTTCTCTCATATTTTGATTCTCATGTTAACTTTTCGAGTGGTGAGGTTTTTTGCAACTCTGTTCTGAAAATATAAGTTTGGTTGCTCTGTTTCAGCCGACATGGCTTCTTAACAGAAGGAAGGCAAGGAAAAGATCATCTCTCCTAAAGGGCCACTGGCTTGCTGGCCTCCCGGTGGGGTTTGGAATTACAAATGTTCTCCAGACTGCAGAGATCAGTTCCCCTGGAGAAAAAATGGCAGTTTCAAGAGGGTGGATTAAATGGCATCACATCTCTGCTGAGTTCCCTTCCCTAATTCCACCTTCCCAGGCTCTGCCCCCAAATCTCCAAGAATTTCCAAACCTGGAACTGGCAAGCCTGGGCACTGAGATTGGACAGCATGAGTTAGCCAGCTCCCACCTCGCTCTGTTTTTTTGCTCAGACAACCCTCTTCAGAGCAAAGCGTGTCTATCAAACTTTATGAAGGAACACCTTCCACTTGAGATTACGGTACAAAAAAAAGATCAGAGAACCTGCCATCAGCACAAATATCAGTTATTTCAACTCTGGAAGACTGCACCTGCACAGAAAGCAGGACTGTCAGGTGTCCATTCTCACCAGTGAAATCCAAGTGCTGCCAGGAGAGAACGAACATCATGAGATTCTAGGGTTGCCAATCCCCAGGTCCTGGTGGGGGTTCCCCCGGTTTTCAGGGCTTCTGCCCACCCCCAAACAGCGACATCACTGTGCGATGTCCCCGATGCGATGGTGTCACCCAGAAGTGATGTCATCATGTTGGGGACGTAATGCGTCCCCAACATGTCAAACTCTGGTTTGACAGCAAAACTCTATGGTTTGGAGACGGTTTTACCATAGAGTTTTGCCTGAAAACCAGAGCGCCGCTGCGTGATGTTGCTGACATGATGACATCACTTACAGGTGACATCATCATGTTGAGGACATTCTGGAACACCTCCAAATACCCTCGCCGGCATAACAAGGGGACCTGGTAATCCTATGAGGCTCCTCTCTCGTCATTCTATGCTTCCCCAACAAGGGAAGAGAGGAGGGAAAAGGAATAGGAACAAGAGCATTAAGGTGACTTTTAGGGTTGCCCACTCCCATTTGGGAAATACCTGGAGTTTGGGATGGGCAGAGTTTTGAGAGACGAGGGACCTCAACAGGATATAAGTGCCATAGAGTCCACCCTCCAAAGCAGCCATTTTCTCTATGAGAACTTGATCTCTGTTGTCTGGAAATCAGTTGTAATCCCAGGAGATCTCTAGCTTCCACCTGGGAGGTGGAAATCCTATGATTGGGAGGTTGTCTCACAGGTAATCAGGGGAGTTAGAACAAGGTTATGTGCCTGCTTGTGAAGAGTGGATTCTTAAGTACAGTAGGAGCCACTGGCAGGGGTTCTGCTTCTGGCAGGTTGGGGAACAAAACAGAAGACCACCGAAGCTAGTGGAGATTAGGGTGGAAAAGACCTTTGCAGCAAGCAGGATGGGGGCTTTTTACTTCTAGCGCTTACATGAAGTCAGTCTGGTGCAGAGGGTGGCTTGAGGCTAGAGTTGTTTTTATTCCAGTCTGCCTCAGAACTTCCGGCACTTAGTGAAACCTCCAAGGCAAAGTCTGCAAAAATCCAAACTGGACACCAGAGAAAGATGCTTTTTGTACAAAGGAAATGCAACCTTTCAAGACAGAGAGAAGCAACCGTAGCATCTCTCAGAGCAATGTAAACCAGCTCCCTATCATATGGGATAGTTTGGCAATTAAAGGATTTTTTAAAATAATTGCCTTCATACACAACAACTTTTTTGAGACTCTCAAAGGAAATACATTGTTTCTCTTGTGTGTGGAACAACTTATCATTTACCCAATGAAAGCTAACCTTCAATTTTAGGAGAAATTTTAAAATATTTTCTTTTTTCATTAATCGGGGGGGGGGGATCTAGAGCATTCTCCACTCCAGTAACACAGCAGAACCCAAAAACTGATTGGTAAACCCTGCCCCTTTGGCTGCCAACCTCCAGGTAGGGACTGAAGATCTCCTGGAATTACAACTGCTCTCCAGGCAACAGAGATCAGTCCCCCAGGAGAAAAAGGCTGCCTTGGAGGGTGTACGGTCTGGCATTAGACTCTGCTGAGGACCATCCCCAGGTCTCACCCCCAAATCTCCAGAATTTCCCAACCCAAAGCTGGCGACCCGACCTGTCCCTCCTGTTGAAGCTTCAGTTTTTATAAGCCACACAGTACCACCAATTTCAACTAAGGGGCGCACTCTAATCTTATTCAAAGCCAACATGGCATAGGGATTTGAATAATATTTGAACTGAGCTGCCTGAGGCTCGAGCATTTCTATCCAGATTGCCCATTGAAAATACACTATGTATCAATAGGATAAGTAAGGAAATTGTCTGTGAGATAACAAGAATATTGTCAATTCATTCAACTATGAATAAGGAACAAGAGACACTACATTGTTAATAAGGCCCCGTTCGGATGAAGTCTTTACAAAATGAACTGACATTCCGGAGAACTCCGTCAACAACTATTACTATTATATATGGACCCGTTTTGCACTTTATACATGTTCTAGTTACTTTTTTGTAAGAATGTATTGTTATAGCAATTCCAGTGGTTTTTTGTGTGTGTGTATAGCGCTTTATTACAGCTTTCTGTTGTCCTTTGGCCGTATAGTGATTTGAATGGCAGGCTAGGATATGGGAAATCTAGCAGAATCAACATTCTGCTAATGAAACTCACTGGGTGACCTGGGGCACATCATAACCTCTCAGCCTCACGGGGTTTATTCATTTTGATCTTTGTGCCCCTCTTTTCTCCTCAGTGGGGACCCAAAGTGGTTTACCACATCATTCTCCTCTCCCCTATTTTATCCCCACAACCATCACACTGTGAGATAGGTTAGGGCTTTTTTTTGTAGAAAAAGCCCAGAAGGAACTCATTAGCATAATAGGCCACACCCAACAGCAGAAACTCATTAGCATATCAGGCGACACCCCATGCCTTCCCTTGGCTTGCTCAGGCAAGCCGGCCCTTGGAGGGAAGAGAAGGCAGTTTAAAGGCTTGCCCGGGTGTCCCTCCTTGGACAGGCCGGGGAAGGCACGGGGAGGCATTTAAATGCCTCCCTGATCAGGGCCGGCTCGAGGTGTTTCTGCGCCCTAGGCGAGGCTGCCTTGTGGCGCAGATGCCAACCTCCCGGTGGGGCCTGAACACCTGGAGACCTCTGGAGCCAGCCACCCATTTGCTGCTGCCACCACCGCCTCTTCCCCCCCGCCGCCGCCACCAAAGGGGGGGAGGAGGGGGGAGGCACAGCTTGGCGCCCCATCCAGGGCCCAGCGCTCTAGGCGAATGCCTAGTTCGCCTAGTGGGTGAGCCGGCCCTGTCCCTGATTCTTCCAGGGGCCCCCCTGGCCCGCCTGCCTTGGAGTCACTGGGGTTTTTTTTTCCGCTTTCCAGGCCTTCCCTCTGTAGCCATGCACACACAGAGGTTTTGGCTGTAGTGGGTGTGGCCAACTCTGGAGCCAGCCGGAACTCCATTCCTGTGTGTTCCTGCCCAAAAATAGCCCTGGGTTAAGATAAGAGAGAGTGACTGGCCCCGGGGCACCCAGCGAGCTTCCAACAGACCGATAATTTGACACTGGGTCTCACAGATCTTCATTGGACACGCTCACTACCACACCACACTACTTAAGTGGATAAAATGGGGAAAGAAGAACCGCATACGCTGCCTGAGGAGAGGCAGGATAACAGTGCAAGAGGTTCCCATCGCTTTTCTTCATGCCTGTTATTATGACAGAAGATGAAAAATCCCAATCAAATAATGCTGCAAAGAAGAAGAAAAAAGTCCACTAGCAGCAGATGAAACCATAAAAGGGAAGACATCTCTCACACGGGGCCAGCATGACCCTGTGCAACTCACCAGGTGGGGCCTGCCACGGCTAACCAAATCTCTCCCTACCCCCCAGTATCTGTGCTCCAAAGCAGGCAGCAAAAACAGGAAGTAGGAAACCTAAATAAAATTAGGAAACCTACATAGCAAAAACAGGAAGTGGGAAACCTATTCCTAGCTGGTGGGATTACTGGATCACAAGCTGCACCCTAGGGTTAGGGTTACCAACCCCCAGGTCCCAGCGGGGTTTTCCCCACTTTGGGGGGCTTTGATTCACCGCTGGCCGAGCAGGAACATCGTCACACGACACCCCTGACATGATGACATCATTTCTGGGGGATGTCATTACACCATGGACATCACACGGTGACACTCTGGTT